GCTTCCCAAAACTCCTAACCCAAAATTGACTCAGTGGACATCTGTTGGAATGAAATAAAAAAACCAAAATGACTGAATTGTACAAAGTGATAAAAGATTTGGTGAGGGTTACCATGACTTTCCATGAAAGGTACTGTTTACATTAAAGCACTGGTTAGTTCTTATTCTCCTTTGCACATACACATACACTTCTTATATGTTCTAGATGGGAGAAGAAAGGAAGAGCAAGAAGATACAGGAATAAGAGAGAGAAGAAAAGGGAAGATAAAACAAGGGAGGGGGGAAAAGAATCACACCTCCCAATCAAAATTCCCCCCTGGCTTCAGAGACACGAAATCTAAGTGTCTTCATAATTCCTTTTATATTTTAGTATGAGCTCAGTTAGTGACCTCTTTTCCTTGGGCTCACATGCAGGGGAGCTTTGACCTGCAAGCGGGTCCAGATGGATTTCTGGGCCTGACATCATCCTATTTCTCTGCCCTCCCCAACATCACTGTGACCACAAGTTACTTTTCACCCTTCTCAGTTGCAGTTCAGTTCACTCTGCCTTCTACTGCTGGATCCTGACCCCTACCTCCTCTGCATGATTTGTTTGATTGTCTGCCCTAGAGCAAGGAGGCTTGTTGATCTGGATGACCCTATGTGCCACCTCCCCTCTGCAGGCCATACTCAGGATGTGGCTAACTCTAGGCCTTTGCTTCTTATATCAGTCAGGGTTTATTAGAGGAACAGATATAATACAAGATAAACAAATGTACAAGGAATTACAAGTTTGGCTTACAATGGTCAGCTACAGAGTTGGATGAGGAAGCAGGCAGAGGGTGTCTGCACGCTGGAGATTGAAGAGCCCAGCCCCGGGCCTGGAGCTCACTGCAGTGTCCGTGAAAGTCCGTATCAAAAGGCTGATGGGTCTGCGGCGGAATACTGAAGAATCTACGATGAAGGCCGGAGAGCCAACACCAGAAGGCTGGAGTCCCAAACAGAAGCCCAACAGTCTGCACCAGAAGCCAGGAGACAACCAAGCTGAAGGCGAAGACCGGAGCTCCTCGGAAGAACCAGCAGCCAGTCCTTCCTCAATTCCTTTTTTATGCAGTCTACCCGCTCCGGGGAGGTGGGGGTCATCCTCCACACCCACACACTCTGCATGCCTGCCTCTTGCACAGGCTCAGGATGAATACAAAGTAAGCACCCTGGACCCCTTCTGAGTTACATTGCTAACCTTCTAAACTTCTCAAATTAACACAATAAACAACATCCCAAAAGGGTAAGGGCATGTCCTTTTCACCCCAAGAGGCAGAACTGCTGAGTCACTTAGCCAAACCTCTAGACTCCCCAAGTTGACACAATGTATCAACCATAACACTTCCGTCCCAAGATGTGACCCTCCCAGTTCATTCCAGGAGGTGCAGTATGGTTGGCCCAGCACCCATTTCTCCACCGACTTCGACCAAGGCTCTCTCCATTTCTGCTCCTTTCCCTTCATGGCAAATCCCACAGCCACATCTGCATTCTCCCTCCACAAGACTTTGCTAAGCAAGCCACTGGATGCCCTCTGGCCAGGGCTCTCCATCTGCAATCCTTCCCTATTCACCCTCCCCAGAGCTTCACTTGCATCTCAGGAGCTTTGTGGAGCCTCGTACCCACTGTGTCCAGCAGGGGGTGATGGGCAGTGAGCATTATGTCACTTGGGTACAACACTGCTGGTGTTTAGAAGAATGGATGAGTGTCTGTTCCTGGGCCAAGATGGTCTCTTATCTCCCCAGGGTCTTGCCACATAGATGCTGCCTGCTTGCATACTCCTTAAGCTGCAGTTTTCTTAAAATCCAGGTCTGGGGCCCTTTCTCAGACCCTCCTTGCCAGTTTTGTTTCTCTGATGCCCTTGTTTGTAAATATTTCACTTCCTCTGTTTCTTTTCCCAATGGGGAGGATAGAAAGGTTTAATTTCAGTGGCTTGGTCACTGCTAAAGCGCAGGCTTTCTCGCACAGAGCATTAGAGGCTCTCTCAAGATGATGCGTGTACCAAACCTGGGCATAAGGGGTTCTGTGATCCAGAAGCAGTCTGGCTTTCCTTTGTAAACCTCCCTGATACTCCCCGATTTGGGTCTGGTGAGTTTATCCTTCCACTTGCCTTCCCCTATCTGGCTTTCCCACCCCCGTTTAGTATATCTGTATTTTTGTGGTGCATGTCTCAGGGCCTTCCTCACTCTCTGCTGCCGCTTACCTATGATGGAACTCCTACTACGAGTGAATTTATCCTAGAAATTTCCCAGCTCAAGCCCGACACTGTATTACCTAGATTGCTTCTAGCTTGAATACAAAAGGAAAGTCCATAAATTTAGCTTTATAGTGAAATAAGGGAGCTTATTTTCAGGGCCATAAAGTAAGAGAAGAGTGGAAAATCATGCAGACCGATAGTGTAAAATCCAGGTTTAATGCTGGTGGGAAGGAAAGGTATACTTTTCTTACTCATTGGAAGAGTCATGTCCAACAGTGGTGTTAACAAGACATTAGAAAAGCAAAACAAATTACTGAAAAATTTAAATGACACAGGAACCTTCAGCCTGAAGACTCAAATCCAGAGACGTCTATTTTTAAGCTTAGGTTCGATGAAGAACAGAAAGTCATGTAGAAATGTAATTAGACAAACCTATGATGTAATGCCTGACTGGTAATAGACTCATAGGGAGAACCCAGCAGGTCCTGTCCCGATTCTTTTTGTCCTCTTTTTGTCTTCTTCCGCCCTTCCCAGCCCCAAGTATGGGGGCAGGACCCTTCTGGAATGCACATCAAGGGAAAGAAGGGAGTGACTTCTTGGTTGTATAGCGTGCTTTGGGAGCAAGTTCAAGTTTCAGCAAGTTCTAGTTTCTAATCATGTTAGTCAGTCTGATTTTGGTGACTTTCTGGAAGGAAAGGGGTGGGAAGCAGGAGGATAGTTCAGGAAGCCCTTGCTTCTTAAGTTCTTGTGTTCAAAATACTCAGGAAGCCAGAGAAGTATTCTGGGGTTCTGAGCTTCAGCAATGCTCTCTCCATTTGCTATTAAATGATAGTTCGTCTAGTTCTCATGTGAACACTAAGTTGTAGGTACAGTGAATAACAATGGTGCTCTCACCAAGCCCCTTTTCACATCTTTGAATTTTCTTTTGCCTGTAACATCCAGCCCCTGCAGTTCTTCCTGGGCTACTAAAGACTTTGCTGGCAATTCAGACAGCAAGAGTGGCTGGGAATTACATTCTCCACCCTCTACCCAATAGTTCAAGGGTATGCCTGCCTCAAGTTCCTTAATTTACTCAGGATGGAGCCAACCTTGGATAAATGTGCCAGTGTACCTTGCTGACCTTCTTTCCCTTTTCCCTAGAGATGTCTCCTGTGTGTACTACCTTAATAGATCACATGCACTTGAATCCTCAAAACCTCATCTTGGGGTCTACTTCTGGAGAAATACACTTAAAACAGTGGGGCAAGTGTTATTGTTTTTTCACCTTAATCAAGAAACACATACTGACTACCTGCATGTAAGAGAGACAGAGAAAACAGAAAAAAAGGCATGGATTGTCATACAGCAGAATATCTGTAATAATCTAGATCTCGCCAACAATTTCCATCTATACGTACTTTCTTCTCATTTTAATTTTACAGGAAGTTAGTTTTCAGACTTCCAACCGAATAACTTTTCTTCTAACAATGTTTGATTCTTTGTTTTCCTTCTCTCCTGGCTTATGTAAGGAACAGAGAAGGTAATGAAACAGGGAGCTAATATGAGGGAAGGTTTTCTTCTACCTTCCAGTCTTCTAGTACCCTTAACTGGCAGATTTTAAACAAGGAGCAGCTGGAAAAGAAACACTGTTTATAGTATCCCAGTCCCACAAAGAATATAGAAGGGGGACTTTGGAACTGAAAAATTAGTATCTGGTATACATGCATATTTTATACAAATTTATTCAATACAAATTTTTTTTTATATTTCTAATTAAGTTTTAAAGGTACATCCACTCACTTTTCTTTGCTGGATCATACGAGATGTGAGATTAATTATACAGATAATTTTAAATAACAAATCTAACCAATAAGTATTTGTGCATCCATGAAGAGCATTACATTAGGCCTGAGAGATATATAGGCCTGAGTGTCTGTTATGTGTGGGCGGTGCATTAAGCACAAAGACGAAAAGATACAGTGCCTTCTGTTCTCATGGAAATTTTAAAAAGAAGTATTTTTTAACACTATATTTTTAGTAAAAAGCTTAGAGTGTGAACATTAACACTAACATAAATTTCTGTGGCACTTACTGGTTATGAAATATAAGTAACTCTGTATTTTGCTACAGAAGAATGCCTCAAGGGAAGACTTATTACTATCAATTCTATTATGAAAATGAGTGCTCTAATTTCATCCAATGGCATAAAACTGTTAACAGAATATCATTTGCAACCTATTTAACAGGTAATTTGAAAATAGAATCATCCAGAAAACATGAACTCATCTTCAAGATTTTAAAAACATGTGTTTGCCTACAGTGGATAATGTTTATTGTTGTTGTTTTTTGTTTTTTTTTCTGGTACCGGGAATCGAACTCATGACCTTGTGCTTGCCAGGCAGGCGCTGTGCCGCTGAGCTAAATCCCCAGCCCCGATAATGTTTAAAAATACATTGTAAAATAGACCAATTCATTACCATGATGTAGGTTTTCCTATCTTATTTAAATACAAGGTAATACAGGATATTTATGCTTTATTCTGTAATACTTTCTAATTTTATTGTCTTTCCCCTTTTTTTATATGGGAGTCTTGCTATATTGCCTAGGGTGCCTTAAACTTGTGATTCTCCTGCCTCAGCCTCTTGAGTAGCTGAAATTACAGGCACATACCAACATGGCATCTGTCCTCCCTTTCCATTTTTTCTAAACAATAAACACAACAAAAATTATAATCCCTTAAACAACCTGGGAAATAAGAAGGTTGGTTTCTGAATAAGTACTATTAGCTAGTAATTCAGAGTCTCAATCACATTCACTTGAATATATTTTATTTAGAATACAGCACTAACAGCATGATGATAGATTTTTACTCACAAGTGTGTACCAAGCAGCACACAATCTTCAAAATGTGTTGCTTTTCACAAGTAATTTTACGTATAGCATCATTTGGTACTAGAGTCAAAGACGACATTTAGATTCTTCAGCTTTGGGGCATTTAATAACATCAAAATGACTGCCTAGTCATGCTGAGGAAAGAAATTCAAAAGCAGTTTCTTTTTCTTCTGCCAGTTCCTTTGCAGTAAGATCCATCTTCTCACGTGAGAAATCATTAATAGGGAGACCTTCAACAAACTTCCAGGTCTTATTCTGTTTGAAAATAAGAGATTTACAATGAAACTACGACTGATCTTCCAGCAACAATAACCTAGTATGAATTTATGTCTAGAGGTGTACTATTTTAAAGTTTGATTAAGAAATAATTAGTCCAGATTTATTTCTTCAGTGCTGGGGATCAAACCCAGTACCCTTGTGCATGAAGGTACGCACTCTTCCACTGAGTACACCTTTAGCCAGGAACCCAAATCTTAACAGATAATTCTGCATAAAAGGTCAACATTTCAATCCAAAATCCATCAAATCTTGAAAAAGTCTATAATAATTATTGACATTAGTTAGTAAGTTATTATAAAGAGCAACACTACTGAGGAACCACTGCATTATTTAGAAATAAGATACAATTTGCAGATATCTGATATTAGAGAAGTAATAATATATCTAGTGGGAAGAGTTGAATCTTGCTTTCCAGATTAATTTCAAACTTTCAATGAATTAAAGTTGTGATAGACATAAAAAAAAAAACCTGAGAATGTTTAATTTAGTAAAAGACTAACTTTGTAAGCCAAATTACTTCGTTTTTGAGAAAAAACATATAATGATTTTTCCACCTCAAAACATCTTACCTGGATTACAACAGGGAATGAATAGAGTAGATCATCAGGAATACCATAGGAGTTGCCATCAGAAAAGACGCCCATGGACACGAACTCTCCCTTAAAAAAACAAGGTGTACATTCTCACAGTGCACAGGGATTAGTTTACCAACCAACCATGAACTAATAAAATTAAACCAGGTGACTTTCTTACTATGTGCACAACTTCATTACTGTAAAGGAACAATGACCAACACCTGGCATTTCCATGACAAGATAACTTTCATGCATTTTATCTCATTCTACTCTTCCAAATTACCTGTGAAGCAGGCTGCAGAAACACAATCCTTATACACATGAGGAAACTGGCCCAAAGTTGATGTTAAGGAGAAAATTATTTTCCATATAAAATCTCACTTACTCCTCACAATGGTGTGGGATACCATGTAACAGATGCCAAAAGAGCTCAGAAAGGTTAAGTAACTTTCTAAAGGTTACTTGGTTTATAGGCAGCTGAGCTGGGAAATAACCTAATTGGCTTACTGTGAAGTAGGGTCTTTTTACTTTATAGTATCAGAGAACAAAAATAAAAAGAGTAGCTTATGCACATCACTGAGTCTCACCTCTGGGGTTCCAAACCAGATGTTTCTGATGTGGTCTCCAATGGCTTTTGCAGCAGACATCGCACTGGATAGTTTCCGAGCTTTGATGACAGCCGCACCACGCTGCTGCACGATCTGGGTGCAAGTAGGCAGAGGCAGCAGTGTTACTTGATTATGCTAGCAAAATTTTTATCTGTTCCAAGTTGACTATAGGTGAAAGGCTATAACCATAGCTTAGTATGTCTTCTCCAAAAATCATGCACCTAGCCAATGCTGAACTTACTAACCTAACTCACTTAGAAGCACCAATCTTTTCGAAGAGAGAAAAGTACAAACTCCCATAGAATATTTAACATACTTTATACAAAGAAATGGATCTTGGTTAAAACAAAACAAAACAAAGCAAAAGGAAAAAGCCAGATGATTAGAGGGTCATCCAATGTTTCCTACTTTTGACAATCAATTTCATTTGCTAGATCATACTGGATTGTGACTGGCTTTGTAAAATGCCAAAAGAACATACTCACTCCTTGGAGCAAATATGAAAGACCTGCTCCCTATGAGGTTTCCCTTCTACCCCTTGGGAGACACTCACATCAGCGGTGTGGCACGTCTCTCCAGTTATTTATGCTTGGCTATTAAGTTGACTCACGACTTTTCTTACCGTGATGAAGTCTCCCTTGAGCCAACTGTCATCTTTCAGAGCTTCATAAACACCAACTTCCTTCCCATGCAATTTCACCTTGGCATGGTTGACATCTGGATATTGAGTTGAGGAATGGTTTCCCCAGATGATGACATTCTTTACATCATCAGCAGTTACTCCAAGTTTAAGAGCAATCTAATGCAATTTAAAAGAAATACACTAATTAGACAAATGACTTTTATCTCAAATTGTGACCTGCTTGAAAAAATCCTTTAAGAAAAAATGAAAAAGCTTCTGAATTTTTTTTTTTTTAGGCAAGGTCTCACTTTGTAGTGTAGACAGGCCTTGAGCTCACTGTGATCCTCCTGCCTCAGCCTGCTGAGTTCTGGGATTACAGGTGTGTGTCACCACATCTGGCACACTTTTGAAATTTATTTAAGAGACTATCACAAATTATACTGATTTATTAAAAAAATGCATATTTCATTGCTTGGTAATTGCATAAAATGGCTTCACAATGTTAATAAAACATTTTTGGGTAAAATTTTTAAGTAGAATATCAACAAGCACAGACCACCCGACAATTTGCAATTAACCTACCAGTATAGTAGATTTATCAGATATAAAGCACCAACTAAGAAGTTAACATTTCTTGAGTACATGAATGTGATCTTTGTTTTGGTGATAATACTTACATAGAGACATCTCCTTGGCATTTTGGAGAACTCCAGTACTTTGTATTTCCCCATATTTAGGTGACTTTTTTTTTTTGGTACCAGGAATTAAGCTCAGGACCTTGCGCTTGCCAGGCAGGCACTGTGCCACTGAGTTATATCCCTGGTCTTACATGAAATTTTTATAATGCAGCAATACAAATCAATTTTCAATTGCTCTTATATATGAAATTTTGGAGTAGGATGGGACTTACATTACCAAAGAATGACCCTACTTGGTAAATTAAGATACTGAAGAGATTAAATATAATAACTTACACATATGTATATCCATCTATCTAGAAAAACCTTGACTTATGATGCAGCTATATTCTGAAATTATTGAAAATACTTTAAGTTGAAATGAATTTAATACACTCAACCTAGTGAACATAACAGCCAAGCTTACCTTAATGTGCTCAAAACATTTATTTTACTTACAATTGGGCAAAATCATCCTAACACAAAGCCTATTTTATAGTAAAGTGTTAAATATATTATTTAAAAATATTTATAGATTTATAAAGACCTGTATCTATATTACCTTGGGCAGGTAACCCAAGATGCTTTTATTTAAGAGCTTAAGAGCTCAAAACCACTCCAAATGTCAGATTCAACTACTCCAAAGTAAAATGAAGATACAGTGCCTCTAGGCCTCTCTCCCCACAAGTCTCCTTGGCATCCTTTACTTGCTTTGTTCATGCTGCCTACCTCCTCTTGCTCCTTTGATCTCTTTAGCTAATCTAGTTCTGTCTGGACAGCAAAGGCCAGGTACTTTGCACTCAGCAGATGTCATTTTATCATTCATGTTAGAGCTAGTCTAAATTAACATGCACCACGAATAACTGTTCCTTGATTCTTAGACACTTTTCATGTCTGTCATATAGATCTGTTAAAGACTTTGACTAATTCCCCAGCCCTAGTAATTTTCTTCCCCCTCTTACCAGCCAACTGATATCATTGTCAAATTACCTTGTCAGCAGACATACATATAGCTCTGGTTTGCAAACAGGGAGTTTCTGCAGGTGATAACAATTACTAGAGAGCTAAGACATCTAAGTTTTAAAGCAAGTTCTGTAAAACCAGTCAACATTCATGTAAGAAAAACTTATCTTTGGGTTTATTATTTTCTCACTAGATAAACAACTTTTACAAGGGGAAGAAACTGCTTCTTCAAAAACTCCCTAAAAGCTCTCTCTGTGCCAGAATGACATGTCGAAACAGTGCCTAACCAAGGGCCTGCGAAGTCCATGAATGCGTGCCAGAAGCAGTGGTTAAAGTCTGATGAGATAGCTTCTCCGCTTTCAGCTCATTCATGACTTTTGCCCTCCAAAGAAAAACCATTTCAGGCCCTGGGACAAAACAGCTCTTGGTAATACCTCTGGAAGCAGAATATTCCAAAGTCTGCCTCCGACGAAACCTCAGATGAAACAACAAAAAGAGATGTCAGGGTTGTCATTTTACCTCTTATCCCCTGTAAGAACTAAGTAAGTAACAAAACAGCAGTGAAGAATTGACAGTTGCAACTCATACAACATCTTGCCTCCAGTCAAGCAAACTCCCATTTCTTCCCCAGATGCTACTCACAGCCCAACGCTTCTCAGGGAAATATTTATAGTATTTTGCTACCCAATGACCTTCTAAATTACACGGAATGTTGAGAGATATTTCTAAGGTGTGGCTCTTTTCAACATCAGGCTGTATATCTCTTAGTAAAAACAAAATCCACAATCATTGCAGCAGTCAAGTTTTATTGTATGAGTATTTGACAGGTACCTTGCTAATGGCTTACAATGGATCTTATTTCATAACAACTTTTGAGGTTGATATTTTATAGCTTCATTATGCTTTCTCAAGGTCACATGCTAGTAAGTAGATTACATCTTCTGATTCCATTATGTGAGAACATGCATGTGTGTGATTTAAGTCTGGCAAGTTTAGGAGGTTCCATCATTTACTAACTATACGACTTAGGGCAGATTCCCCAACCTCTCTGGGACCTAAGTTTCCTATCTGTAAAACAAGGATAATAATGAGGTATCTTGTAGAGTTATTATAAAAGTTAAAATAAAGATTATATATAGGGGCTGGGGATTTAGCTCAGCGGCACAGCGCCTGCCTGGCAAGCGCAAGGTCGTGAGTTCGGTTCCTGGTACCGGAAAAAAACCAAAAAAAAAAAAAAAGATTATATATAAGCCATTCAGTTTATAGTAGAAGCTTAACAAATATAGAATCTTTTCTCTATCATTCAGGAGTTGAGAAGTTAATTCTTAGTTTAAGATGGTGTTTTCTTAACTTCAACCTCATGCCATCTTCTGGTTAAAAAGCTCTGTGGAAACTAAATAAAGATGTCATCTCTAGAAGAAAAGCACGATACTCATAGACCTATGCGGCAGTGATGACCTGAGCATGAACAAGGGTGGCCAGAAAAGTGCTAGGGGTGAGGAAAGAGGCTGTGTCCGAGAACTAAACCTTTCGCCTGCCTTCCAAGGGCACCACAACCAGTTAGAGCTGACAAATCCTAGGAACCGAGCCTGCATAGATGGCCTGACTTCTAATTTTTTGAAAAGTTATTGTTAAATTCCTGGTCCCTGACTTCTTGGCATATTTTTCTGAGGTTCTAAAGGATAAGGAATATTACAACAATTTAAAGCTTAGTTCTTAAGTAGTGAAAATAGGAAATATTATGGACACATATAGAATATTATGATATAAAACTGAAAACTAAATAAAATCTATTAAAATTTAAACTCGATTGTTTAAAACTCAAATCTTTTCTTTTATAATCTCACATATCTGAAAATATTAAGTTATGTAATATTAAGTGAATTATTTATACTAGAAACTAATTGTAACTCCCAAGAGAATACCAATAACTCTATTTAATTATCATTAGCAATTAAAATATAGTTAAAAACAAAATTAAGCATGAAGTTCAGCTTCTGGTCCTTAGAACAGATTTAAAGATTGTCTGATAAAAGTAACAGTAATTTACCTTTATATAAAAGGAATAGTTTCCTACTACAGAGACAAAAAAAAAGGAAAAAGTAGGATTCACTGATTTTAAAGCTGAATTTTTAAGATTTTAAAAGGCATTTTTCTCACTTGAGATTTAGCTCTGTTGTGGTCCAAACGAGTCAGGCAACTGAAATTCTCCTTCGGGATGGATGGAGCTGACTTAGAGGCAGTCAGGCAGTTGGTATTCGCTGGATTTCCCACAACGATGACCTAGGGTACATGAGAGGCACAGAAGTTACAAACTGAATTCCTAGTAAGTGAATTACCTTAGAATATGACTGAAAAATATGTAACAGGCAAATTACATATTAAGTTTGTATGAGATAAATATATATATATATATTTATATGTCTATAAATACATTAAAAAAACCATTGTAGTATGTAGGTGTTTATCCTCCTTTCTAAAAACGTTTGCTTATCTTGTCAGTGTTTGGTGTGACTAATGAAAACATTTTTTGATAGAGCTGTTTTACATATATAAATCACTTTTCATTTAGCAATTTTATATACATGTCTGTTTTGTTTTTGTGCCAAAGGAGCCAGAGTATTTATCTATCTACCCTTCCACACACAGTCACAAATCCAAACAAAAAAACCCCAAGAAATTTAAGGCTCTATCTCAGAGTTTGATTCATTTATATAACTTTCCTTTTATTTGGGTTTATTTTAAAACAATCTGTCTCTATGATTAATAAATATTCCTCAAATTTGCCTCATCCTAAAAATTTCCTGTGCTATTTGCTAAAATACAGATTGCCACCCATCTCTCCTGCCAGATCTAACATCTTTTTTTTTTTTGTACCAGGAATCAAACTCAGGACCTTGAACTTGCCAGGCAGGTGGTTGTGCCACTGAGCTAGATCCCTAGCCCACAAGTTAATCTTTAGCAGAAAACATTTCAGGCTATTTTTGTATTGGGAAGGTTTAGTCAGCAATGAATTATAGTACAGAAGACCCTATACATGGACATTTAAATTATGGGATCTTTATTAACATAATTAAAGAAATCTTATTTTGAAACTGTCAAGATTTACAGAAAGCTACAAGCACATTATAAAGACTGAGTAACATTATCATTTTTTCTAGATTCTCTCTCTCTATATACACACACTTTAATCTTTTTACTGGCTCATTTGAGAAGCTGCCACTAAGACAGTACTCCATTGACCCTAAGTACTCCAGTATTGATGAGTGTTTCTTCCAAACAAGGACACTTTGCAGTGGTCGGAGTACTGTACAAACTGTACTACAAATCCAGGCAGCCTGGATTTTAGCAGCCTGTACAGCTGGTAATCTACAAAGAAACCAGAGGATTTCTACTCAAAATGTTTTTATTATTTTCTGTTAATGACTACAGAAAATAAAAACAATTTAAAATGAAGTCTATAGAAAGCAAAACTATTTGTCAGGTTGATCTCCTTCCACAATCACTTACACAGCTCTAAATCTCTAAACAAGTATTTCCACATAGCAGAAAGGCACCAGAAGGTTCTGGGTCTTCTTTATAAGTTTAAGAACCAATACTAAATATTCATGTCATAGTAGTGAGCAAATATTTTTCAGTACTTGTGCTTAAAGATTTCTGAACTTACAGCAAAAGATCCAGAAAGGGAGATCTATATTTATTGAACATGGCATAGAACTGGAAAAACGGGGGGGAAACAATTTTCACTTAATGCTGAAAGCACAAGTTTCAAATTCAAGTAATGAAAAACCTAACAAAATACAGTTCTGATTACCTTAACTGACTTTTTGGCATATTTATCCAAGGCTGCACCCTGGCTTTTGAAGATTTTTACATTTGCTTTCAGTAAATCTTTCCTCTCCATGCCTTCCCTTCTCGGCATGGAGCCCACGAGAACAGCCACATCCAGGTCTTTGAAGGCAACTTCTTCTTTATCTGTCGCAATAACATCTATGGACAATATGCAGAACTGTTTAAATATCCAAGTCTGAAGTTTTATTTTTCACACTGAATCTAGTCACTCATTCTTAAACTTTATAGCAAATTGTTTGCATCTCACACTGATAGAGCTTTCCCAGACATCATCAGCAGAAATGTCAACAGATTTGTTTTCCTCTTATTTCAATTCAAAAATTCTTTTTATCTTTTCTAATCCTATTGGTACAAAGTATAACTTTCAAAGCAGCATTTGTTATTCACATTTATTACCACAGACAACACAAAACGGCAACTCATTCAGTGAACTTTAAATTGTATTTACTTCAAGGTCTAAGATACCAATCACAAATTTAAAAATAGTAAATGTTTATTGAGTAGTGCCAGAAATAATGCTAAGAGAGTTATTTCATTATAAACTTAATCTTCACATTTTACAGATGAAGACACTGAGGTTTACAGAGATTAGCTACCACCATGGTAAGATAGTAAGGTTATAATTTCAGTCTGTCGGTCTAGAGGTCGGTCCAGAGTTGCCAGCGTCAGTCTAATAAACACACACAACTTGCTTTCTGATTAAAGAACATGCATCTTTGGTCTCCACTGTTGACTGTATTAAAAAGGCCATCATCGCTATTCAGCATATCATTGGTAAATTTTTAGGCCAGGGAATTTATGTTAGTCAGGCTTTTTAAGTCCCCATTGGGCATAAGCAGGAACACCAGTGACAGGAAACAAATATACATCTTCCCAGTCACACATCCATACCCACTGATCTTTCCCTTCACTGCCATATTCATAGCTACGGAGGGCAAGTTCGCCCTGTTAAGAGTCAGTACAGGGGACTTAATAGAGAAGGGAATGCAAATGGGAAAAAGCAACAGAAGAAGTTGATTTGGAAAAGAATTGTGTGTAGGGAAAGGAAGCCAGCAGAAAAGCTGAGGGCTAGTCATGTATCCTTTTATAGAACTATGCAACCAAATGATTTAGATGGTAGAGTTTCTCTCCTAGTAAAAGTTTATTGAATAGATAAATGAATTTGAAGGAAAGTTTTTTTGGGGAGATAAGTATATTGTATCGTTTTTTGCAAACTTCTAGAAGAGTTGTCATTAATTAATCTTTACCAAAAGAAAAAAATCACAAAGTATAGCTAAAGAGAACTATTCAAGTTAGTTTACAATCTAACCTGAGAGTTTAACAAAGTTTTCAATCGAATTTGAGACTTCTATGTTACATTTGAGTAATAGTTCAGTGATTCTCAAAGGCACTCAGTTGAACTCTTGAGGGTTTTTCAAAATAGGTGCTACATAGTTAGGCCAACTTATACTGTACCTCCTCCTAGCAGATGGAATGGACCATACAAAAATGACCAACCAGCTTCTAGGGTATATGACCTAGTAAGGCATCCTTCAGAATTGAAAAAGTTTTTATTATTAGATGCTACTATTAGCATTTAAATAGACTCCATGTTGAGGAAAAAGCAGCCATTTACTTGACATTGACCATTTCTCATGTTTACCCTTATTTCTGGTATACATGTTAAACAAAAATAGTTTTATGAAATAATTTCTTTTCTTTTTTTTTTTTTTTTGGTTTTTCTCCTGTACCAGGAACTGAACTCACGACCTTGCGCTTGCCAGGCAGGCGCTTTGCCGCTGAGCTAAATCCCCAGTCCCCTTTATGAAATAATTTCTAACTGGGAGTGTATAGACATAATAGGATACTATAAAATCCTTCCTCTCCAACTCACCTTTCAGGAGGGGAAGGGCACAGTCCTGCAGTTCCATGAGGACCCCGTCCAGTACACCCATCATGGGAGTGATATCTAATAGCACAAGAGTGATAGGCTGCCAAGAAGCAAGGACGGCATCTGTCAGTGTAGGTCACGTCATTTAGCATAAAAATGCCCTGCTGCAGTTTTTGTTTATATGCATATAATTCCCATTAACTGATGGTAATAAATACTTTAAGAGCTCAAGTATCTAACACTATGCCACTTTCAGATGACTGACATCTCTGGTTGCACGAAGTTAACGAAGTACATGGAACAGTTCTGATTTGCAAACTGTTTTCAGTGCCTGGAGGGATGCATATAAATACCTCACCAGCTTTCATTTACAGCAATGTGCCTATTACATTTACCGGGACTATCCAACACTTCACCACTTTATGATTTATTTGCCACTAAATACAGAGTTTTATTAATGACATTCTCACACTAATGCCAAGATTTAGAGACATGCCCCTACCTGGTCTTTACCAAAGACAGACCCATTTCCAATGCTGTACAACAGTGAATATGCAATTTGACCAGCTGCTCCAGTCACAAGGACTCTGATTGGCTCAGACTGTAAAAAAAGAGATCCATTTAGATTGTATCAAAAATGTCATTTTATCTTAGGGATTCAAGATTTTAATAAGACAAGCATATACATAAAAGCAAATGTAAAATTTAAAAATCTCTGCATTACATTAGTAGAAAACTAACTTACACTTATTCTAGAAAATACAGTACGCACAACTTACAGAACATGTGTCCTTCAGCTGCATATTTTAGGTGGTGTGATTCAATTCTCACTCAAAAGGTGTACAAAGTGCTATCCTGTATTTTCTACATGATCTTATCCATCTTTTTAAGGATATTTTCTTACTGAAACAGGCCTAATAATGTTGATGTGTGCATTACATGGTTATACCAACCCTGGGCAGCCAGGAGAGCCTTAGAAATCCTTATGAAAATCCACCATTCTTATCTGCTCTCTAGAACCCTTCACACCAGCCTAACAAGTAACAGTGGTTAAAACTTTCCATTTACACCGAGTCAAACTTTAAAGGGGGGGGGAGAAGCATTAACTATCTGAGAGGAAAAATAAGCCTTTTATAAGAAGAAAAAAAAGGTAATATCTGGATTACAATAAATTATCAGTAACAAGAGCAATATATAGGGCTAGTTGACAGCCTGATTCCAAAGGAAATTTATTTTTGAAAGGATGGGGACACATATGATGTGCCTAATAGTTGTAATATTGAGAAGTAGCCTTACAGATTCAACAGACTCAATAAGACACAGGAAGAAAAATATTGAGATTTAAAGTGATGAGCCTGAGTCATTTAAATAAGGTTAAATTAAGCTCAGAGAATCAAGGTGAATTTTTCCTTTCCTTGACAATTTTGGGTACATGTGGCTCTACTCTGCCACCTCTATCCCTTCCTGCATGGAGAAATGGCCAACTGAATTGATTGGTGGGGTGGGGGAATAGCAGTGTTTGATTTGTTTTTATTCAAAATTTGCTCTCCCAGATGAGCCATGCATCTGAAATGGAAAGAGGATAGGTGACCTTGAAGGATCCTTTTAAAATTCTAACACTAAGCACTGAGGTCAGCAGCACTCAGCAACATGGTATTGAAAGAAATCAAAAGGAAAAAAATAATATCAGGAAAGAAGTATCAACTGCTACAGAAAAATAAATCTAGCTGGGCATGGTGGTGCATGTCTGTAATCTCAGCACTCAGGAGGCTGACGTAGGAGGACCACTGTTAATTTGAGGCCAGCCTGCGTTACACAGAGAGTCCAAGGTCAACCTGAACTATACAGTGAGATCTTGTCTCAAAAAAAAGCAAAACAGGGCCAGGGATATAGCTCAGTGGCACAAGCACCTGCATGGCAAGCACAAGGTCCTGAGTTTGATTCCCAGTACGCCCCCCACCAAAAAAAAAAACAACAATAAAAAAATCTGACCATAGTAGTCTATCTGTGCCCTTTTTCCTTAGAGATGTGACCAGCACGGGAATAAAATAAACAAATCCCCCGTGAAAGTGCAGAAAGTTTCTCCCTGAACTTCTAGATCTCTTCTTTTTTTTTTTTGGTTTTTCTCAGGTACTGGGAACTGAACTCAGGACCTTGCGCTTGCCAGGCAGGTGCTTTTGCCGCTGAGCTAAATCCCCAGCCCCTAGATCTCTTCTTCAACTTTTCAGCAAATTTTCCTCAGCTCTTCATATCTCCAAATATACAAAATATGTTAATTTCTTAAGTCAGTTATAATAAAATATATATTTATATTCCAAAAGAGACTAGGTTTATAAAGAGCCACTAATAATCTATATGGTTATTTTTTATTATGTTAAACTACATGATATTTGTATTCTGATCTGTCATTAGTATTTATAGAAAAACCTTAAATGGCCTATACATGTTATTTGTCATTTCCTTTTCTCCCTTGAAGTCAAATAGAGCAGATAACGAAAAGGAAAGGAAATAGAGGGAAAAGTTATTGCTACTTCTTTCAAATGTTAAGTCAAGGCTGGGAGCTCACCTGTCATATTTTATTTTGAGGGGATTTACTTTATTTACAGTTGTATCTGAACTAACTAGAATACCTAACACACAGTTGGACCTGAAATATCTGCTGAAGAAATACCTGTATTTTGAAAATCCAAGGATAGAAATATATAAGAATTATTTGAAAGTATACTGAACACATGTTTAAAATTTTTTAGAAGATATTTATTCATATATACTTGCACTGAGAAGGCTGGAAACTTAGGTAGCATAAAAAATAGTTTGAGCTATAGGCAAAACTATTTCACTAGTTCTAAGTTACAGTTTTATCAATCAACTGATAAGCTTACCTCATTTAATTCATACATGATATATCACTGAATTCCTATCAGGTACTTGGTATTATTTTAGGCCAGAGAATCTGTCAGTAAACCTTCTAAATTTAGAAAAGGCATAAGCCAATTCTCTAAAATGGAGCTAGAAGCAGTAGAGAGTAGTAATGAAAGAGAGGGCCTTAAGAGTCAAACTTTTCTAGGCTCATGTCCTGGCTCCTCATCTCATTAGCTGTATACTCTTGACAAGGTACTTAACATCTCTGTATTGTCTCCACAGAGGAAAATGGAGATACAATATCAGGTCTAACAAACTGCAGTTTTAAGGACTGAGATTATTTCACATGCAGAGTACAAAGAACAGCATGAGGCAAATATTACAGTTATAGGTTTCTGTCACCACAGAATTTTCCTCTAAGAATTCCTCTAAGGGTCTTGCTAAATTGCCCAGGCTGATCTTAAACTTTTAATTCTCTGGTCTTGGCCTTCTAAATAGCTGGGATTAGGCTCCTCTAGGATTCTTATAGCCAGTGGCTTTCCGTTTACATGTCTATTACTCTTTACTAGACTGTGAAGAATCCTGACAGGAGTCTCACTTTGACTCAAATCTTTGACTCATGTAGTGTTCCAAAAATATTTCTATTTCTTCTTTTTTTTTTTTTTTCCTTTTGAGACACGGTCTTACTATGTAGTTCAGGCTGGCCTTGTGCTCACTTTGTAGCCCAGGCTAGTTTTAAATTCAGAATAATCCTCCTGCCTCAGCCTCCTGAGTGCTGAGATTATAGGCATGCACCATCACGCCTGACCAAAAAGTATTTGTTGAAAGAATAAAAGGGTAAAGAAAAACAAATACACTGTACTTCAGTGTAAGTAAGCTGGATTACAAAACGAGGAGGAAAACACATAGCTCTATCTATAAAACTCAACCTCTGAGAAAGTCAAGTAGATGACTAGAACAGAATAATGAAGTCAATTTTAGCTACTAAAAATGTGTCCACAATACCTCTTTAGTGCAGGGGTTGTGGCCAACTACAATCTGCTAATTCCACCAGCAGTTTCCTTCTGCCTCTTTAGGCCACTTTTTTCATAGGTAATTTTATCTTGTTAAAGCGTAGTATGAAGCCTAGTTAGGATATGAATGATGATGGAATAAGTAAAGGAAGTACACATTTGGTTCTTACTGTTCTTTTGCAACACCGGTTGAAAAGCAGGAAGGTGGGAGAGTCCTGCTGGCTGACTTCTCACTATGCTACTGTATGAAGACAGGTTACTATTCTTTGCTCGGATATCTGGCAGTCTGCCAAGATCCAAGAAGGGATGTCTTTGCTCTAAGCAGGGCACTAATGACCTTCCTGCAAATGCTGGCTCTGTCTTGAGAATGTGCTATGGTCTCAGTTGCAAAGCTTGAATTTAACTATTCCTTCAGTTATTCCACAGAAAAATACATCTATTCCTTTCTTACTTCCTAGTTTATATGCATTTCTAATTTACATATATTTCTCTAATACAAAATAGAAGTGCCATTCAGATTCCTTCCTATGGACTTCTTACAGACACAAGAAAGAATTTTCCTCTTTAGCCCCTTCTTAGAGTTGGCTTACAAAAAGATGACTCTTGTAAATCACTGATTATTCATGCTTTTCTGAAGAAGATTTTGAGTCATGTGAGACAGCAAACTGACACCATTCTTCCTTATCGACCATCTCTGTGTTACCTGGCATCCCAGTGACCTTCCAGGAGTGAGGCCTGGCTTAAGTCTAGTGAGTAGCAAAAATAAAATAAGAATCTGGGCCCTGGATTTCTCTGTGACCTTGGGAAAAATCGTATGACCTCCCCAAGTTACCTTTAAGATTAGAAGAAATTATCTCCAAATTACCTTCCATGTTTACTAGTCTGAATTACAGGGAATAAAGCTATCAGGTAATTTACCTGCTGGCAACATAGTTAAGTTCATATCTGCAGTATGAGCTTATATATCATTATAGAAGATCAGCTACTAAAAGTAAAAATTTAGAATGACTTGACTCAATAATGATGAAATGGAGTGTGACCTTGAGCAAATCACATTCTCTCTGGGTCTCAATAAATTCAGCTTTCAGCAAGTTCTAAAATTAAAAGTCTGAAGTTCTCTGATAAAATGTGCCTCTGCTTTCTTGTTAGGACTATTAAGAGAGAAACTACTGAAACCATAATTTAAATAATTACATTATTTCATAAAATAACTAGGAAACAGTTACTGGGAATTAGTAGCTGTTCTCTGTCCACTTATGACGTAGAGGGAGTACTGTCCATGCTTTGCAAACATGTCTTTTCAGGTTCTGGAAAACTTCCAATTCATTCAAACATTTTTCTCATACTCTCCAGAAATTTTAGTATTTTGAGATAAGAAGAAAAAATATTTCCAAATATAAATGCAAGTCTGAAGCAATTTTCCTCAATATGACTGTAAATGTCACCTTCAAAGAGCTCGCTGATTATTCCTACGTCACAGTTTCCGCACCCACCCGCCCCACTCCCCGCAGCAGAGACTAGATATGCAGCTCCAGAGATTGCTTCAATGACAAGATGGTAATACTGTGTTACACTGAAAAACAGTGCTTCTGGAATTCAAAACACATACAACAGTAAAGAACATCTCCACTAGTCATCTGGCTAGTGATGCTACTGCGTCCTAGCATTACAAAAGGAGATTAATGAAGAAGTTTTAAATAATATTTTGTTAAGTTAGATATGGAGGAAACACGTCTCCTGAAAATGCAGATCGTCAGTGTGAGCGCAACATTAACAGTGGAGGGCCTTTTGCTGTAAAGGGCTTTGTGACAAAAGCCCTTAAAATAGTATGGTTCAAGGAAGGAAAAAAAAAAAGGTTAAGACGCAAATCTCCCTTCCCATGAAACCTCATCGTCCCTAGCTTGCCCTTATTATAAGCCTTCGGAGAAAATCAGGATTCATATTTTGTGCCCCGCTATACAACAGGCGTAAGACCGAGCTTCTTCAAGGGCAATGGTTTCTCCAGAGACCTACGAAAAGCCCCAGGAGGAAAGCAAGCCCTTCCCAATTACTAGGCTATTGGACAGTCCCCAGCTGAGTGGGGGGATTTGCAAACGGTTCCAAGGTCAGTGCGATGCCCTGTTCCCTACTAAAAATTCTTGAAGTTCAAGAACACCCACACTCACGCCGGAGGTAAACAGAAGCCAGAGGCCCACACTCACCATGCCTGGGAACTGCGCGGACAATTTCTGCACCTGCAAAGCGAGCCTCGAAAAGTCAGGTCACCTCTAGCTCGGAACCGAGTCGAGGAGGGCGCGCTGTGACAGTCAGAAAAGGCTAGTCTCCCGGCCGCTGTACCCTCTGGGAAATGTAGTTTAGGCTGCCCAACTCTGGCACAGCCTTCACGCATTCTCTCCAGTGTCGAACTACACTTCCCGAGAAGCCGAGTCTTCTCACGTCCTTCTTCCTGCGCTCTCCAGCCATTGCAAAATAGTCCCCAAGGGTGAATCTCTGTGATTGGCGGGCGACTACGAGCGTATGGTTTGGGCTCAGAAGGAGAGCACTGCCTGATGGCACTCGGCAATTGGCGGGAAGGAAGGTGTGTGCAATTTGAGGGAGGAGAGACGAACCTTTGCACCACCTCACTAATGCGCAACAGAGACTTTTTCGTTCCCTGAGGTAAACGTGGGCGGTCAAGAGACCTTCCGCCGCGTAAAGCTGGCTCGACCCGGAAACAAAATCTTTTAAATCTTGTACATGCTCCCGAGGGGCGGGGGAATTGATGTGTCCGGAAGACTGTACAGCTTCTCAGGTTGCTAAGCGACGAGGCGGGAGCACCCGAGAGAACTGTGGTGGCCTCCGCTCCAACATCCTAAGCAAACTGTGGCGGCGGCTCCAAAACCGTGGAGACGGAGCCCGCGTGTTTCTTAGTCCGTGCTTCGTAGCGCAGGGAGCCTTTCTCCGGGCAGTGTCCGGTGACGAGGAGCGGGTCTGTGGGCAGTCCCTCCTAGGCGACCCGGGGCCGTGCGTCTTCTCCATTCCAGCGGCAGGTGAGCCCTGGCTGGAAAGCGAGGGATTTTCTTTTAACCTTAGGGTCCAGCATGTGGTTGTGCGCCCTCCTGCGTCGCATTTTACGGGTCTCTTCCCACAGAGTTAGGGGCGTGGGAGTGTCACGGTGTTCTGGAGGAAGCAGTGTCCTGGAGTTCGCGCGCCTGCTCTCCGCTGTAAAGTCAGGTCTTCCAGAGTTAAATAAAAATATTGAGCCTCTGCTTGGGGAGGGTGGTGAGCCCCTTCATTCCAGGAGCTTGCAGTGCATGGATCTAACTTTTCTCTGCCCTCTGCGAACGCTGTCATCCGTTTTCCTTTGAAAACTAGATGTGCTTTAAATCGTCTTTAATCTTAAGTTATGCCAAACCTGTATTTCTAAGGAAAGAGTGGAAGTGAATGAGAGACATTGGTTGTTTCAGGTGGACTATCAGCTGGGAAAATAATGTGAGAGCTTTTCCTTTAAAATTAATGCCCAAGAGAATTGCTGTGTTTCTCTGAAAGCTTGTTTGATGTGGATATTGCAAGAAGATACGGTTCTTTGGCATCGCTCTACGTAACGAAAGTGAATGTCTATATTAGGTAACACTGGCGTAATGTTATGGGTTTTGTCTTATTGCTGGCAAATGAATGCCAAGTGTTATTTTTAGTTTTTCTCCATTTCATTTTGGAAGATTTACTATTTTGGGAAAGAAATATAATGCCCTACTTTCTTCTTGATCTTTAAGTAGTATTTATCATACCCGAATGACATCTCCTTAAATTACTTTATTCAGTTATCTTTCAGATACACTTTTTTCTGGTTTTCCCCTCTTCTCCTTGGTTGCCCTGTCTCAGTCGTTCTAAGTTCTTTTTAAATTAAACTCTGATTTATTAATATTGGAATGCCTGTATTCATCTGTCTACATGAAGTCTCTAAATGAACCCAGTCATGAGTTTTATCTCTTCAAATGCTACTTCTTTGTCAGAAATTCCCGAATTTATCCGGGCACAGCAGTGCAAGCTTGTAATCCCAGCACTTTGAGGGTCTGAGGAAAGAGAATCCTAAATTCGAATCCCCCCTCGGCAGTTTAGCTCGACCTTGTCCAGAAAAGGAAAAAAATAAATAAAAAGGCTAGGATGTAGGTTGGTGTGAAGGCCCTGGGTTCAGTCTCCTCTATCAAGAAAATAACAAAACCAACCCTCTCGTATTTGTTTCTAGTTCTGGCATGTCTATTTATTTCTACTTGATTTTTTTAACAAGCGTCATTTTCACTGTTTTTACAGTATTTCCTACTGAATAGCTGTATATTAAAAGTATACTCTGTCGCTAGTATAACAGCGTTGTTATACTTTTATAGATTCGATACACATAATACGAGTTGCCCTCAGTTTCACTATTTTGGTTGTGGATAAAATTACAAGATTTCAGATTGTGGATTAGCGAAGAGATAGGGCTAGTTAGATGGAGACCAGTTTAATAAATTGGCTAAGGGAATTTAGGAGAAGAGTTTTCAGGCTCTGACATTCTGTTAGGCTCTGGGGATTCAGGAATGAATATAACTAACATAGTTGCTGCCCTTTAGGAGCCTAAAACACAGATGCGTAAGTCCATAATGGCAATGTAATGACCTGGTTAATAATAAAGAGTTAGGCACTCCGGGTTGCCAGGGCTTTAAAAAGGGGATGCTACTAGAATGAAGACAAATGGATGTTTCTGCCAGGAAGCTAAGGTAGGAGGTGGAAACACATTTGGAGTGTTGCAGGTAGCGTTTAAATTGGTAGTAAGAAATCATTCATACATGCTTTAATTTCCTGATTAGAAACAACTAAGGCTCAGATTCTATAACTATATTGTGAATACTGTAGTCATTAGTCACATGTGACTATTCAAATTTAAGTTAATTAAAATTTAAAACTCAAGGGGCCGGGGATGTAGCTCAGTGGCATAAGCACTTGCCTGGCAAGCCTGAGGTCATGAGTTCGATTCCTGGTACCAAAAAAAAAAAAAAAAATTAAAACCCAGTTTCCCAGTTATACTCGCTACATTTCAGGTGCTTAATAATGTATCTGACAGAATAGAGAACAGAATCGCCAAAAGTTCCGTTGCACAGGATTATGAGAATTCAGTGGAAGCAAGACATCGCCCAGAGCCAGAGCAGGTGTGGCACATCTCCGTGGTATTTCCCTTAACTTTGGGTTCCTGTAGAGTGTATAACTGCTGTAATACAGACAACGCAGGAAGGGCCCTGTTAGAGGCAAAAGGGAAAACTAATTCTTGCCTTAACTATTGTCTTTTATTCTAATAGAAGTCAGATTTACAGTCTAGCAGTACGTGTGTCTGTTTGAAAGATATTTAGGCCCATAGCAGTGTCCTGAATCTTGAGCCAAATTTAGCTTAAGCAAGACTATACCCTCAGGAGGGCTTGAGAAAGCAGTCATTTCCGGGATGACCTTTAATAAAATCTGTTTACTGCTTTATGCGTTTGGGGAAAGCCTGTGTTCCTGACTCATTCTTAGGAGGTGGAACAATGTATGATATATAGAGAGGCTTGCGATAGAATGGCAGGTTCAGCCCCTACCAATCATGGGGAATAGGAAAAAGAGAAGCCTAGTTGAGGTGTCTGTTTATTTTAATATGTGCTACAAGTTTATATTAATGTGAGTTTTATGAATTATCCTAAAGTTTCTATTTTAGTGGGTGCGGCCATAACGAAATACCATAGACGGATGAGACGATAAAAATTTCTCATAGCTCTGGAGTCTAGGAAGTCTAAAATCAAAGTGCCAGCAGATTTGGGTCTAGCTAAGGTCATTCCTCCGGTTTGTAAGTGGCTGCCTTCTCTTTGTGTTCTGAATACGTGAATTTTTAAGAGACAAAGACGTTTAGTCCATAGATGTATATTTTATTTGATGTATTTGCTCTCTATGTGCTTATCTCATAGTAAGTTCTTCCTCTTCAAAGTTTGGCTGGTTTTATTACATATTTTCAGTTGTTATTAAACAAATAGTCTTTGTAAATCAAATTTCATAATAATTCTCATTACCAAGGAAAGAGAAAAAAGAGAAATGTCACTGGAAAGGGGCCAAAAGGTGGTTTAATTGTATGGGTGGGTATAGAAAATCGGTATTCATTTTATTATTTGTCCAGCTTTCCTCACCATCCAGTTTAAGAAGGAACATTACCAGTCCCTTGGATATACTGTGCTGGCAAACATACAATGTACATTCAATTTTGTGCCTTTATATTTTATAATATAAAAATAAATTCACTTGAATTATTCAACAATAATTAAAATCAGTTCATATTTCCTCTTTCCCCCTACTAACTAGGTATTATGAAAACTTACTTTATGTAAAATAAGTTTGCTTTACATGTAAAAATGCTGCTATATAAGCATAAACATGTCTGTTATTTTTCTCTAAATGTGTCAAAAAGTTATAATTGTGTTCATTATTTCAAAAAATTAAGACATACCAAAAAGAACCTCAAATGGGTCAATTCATGGTACATGAGATGTGGGGAAAAGTATAAAGAGCTAAACCTTGGCCAGTGACATGAGGCAGAGACAGGAGGGTAGGGGGATAAAAAGAGAGCTGTTGAGTGAAAGAAGTAACATACTGAAGTGAAGATTAAAAGTATCAAAAGAAAAAAAATGATAGCAAATGTAGTACAGATCCAATTGGCTTTTATTTGTAATTCAAGAATCTGGGCAGCCTGTGTTCTACCAAATAGAACGAGAACTCCCAAATAATGGCAGAGAGTGGGTTTTGCAAGGTGGGAACAAGGAAACAGAACCATAGGTGGGGAGAAAAAGCAGATTGATTAATGTCAGGTTAATTTTTTAAAGGGTTTAAGTGGAGGAGTCTTAGCCCTATTACACTGACTCAAGTAGACTAGAATCTCCTGTTTCCAGCTCTGTTTTAGGATCTGTCTGTTTCTGTAAAGTTTCAGTAGTATAAGTGCCCTTTTTGGTTTGGTCTGATAATTAGGGCACAGTATAGGGCAATGGTGGCTATGAACTTACGGCATACATGCTATAGCAGGCTGTTTAGTATCATTGAAAGCTCTAAAAGGTTCACCATTATTGGATAGGAGCTCAAAACAATGGCGTCCTTTTTGCTTAGTAAGGGGGAGGGAAAAAAACCTCACTTATTGTATTAATTGGCATTACATATTTTATACTTTAGCTAAACTACTTGTTGTTGCTCAAACATACCCTTCAGTTTTCTGCATCCATGTTTTATGTGTACTTTTTCCTCAGCTAAAGTCTCATCCTTTCTGCCTCTTAAAATCCATTCCACCAGGCTTTTTTCATGTACCAGGTGTGGTGGTACACACCTGTAATTCCAGCACTTTGAGAGACTAAGGCAGGTTGATTGAAAGTTTTGAGTCCAGTTTGGGCAATTTAGCAAGATCTTGTCTCAGAATGAAAAAAATGTGAAAAGGGTTGGGGATATAGCTCATTGCAAAGGTTCTAGGTTAATCTCTAATATTAAAAAAAAGAAAAGTGGAGATTTCTGTATATCCTCAATCTCAATTTTCCAATACACTTCTCTGACATACTATTATCTTACCTAATTGGGGCAGATTGTATAGACCCCTAGCAATACTATTACATATGAAAGCAATGTATTAATACTTTAGAGTACCAGAAATAATAAAACATGAAATGTGAAACAGTATCACAGAAAACTTGTAGCCCCCCCGAATATATCTGAGAAAGAAGCTAAGTTTGAGAAACACAACCCTAAAGGATTCCTTGTATGGCTCACACACTTTAAAAATGTAAGAATTTCTTACCATGAAGTTTAATTGTGTGTTCTAGAACTGCAAGATTAAGTTAATTTCCTTCTGTAGTCTCCAGTGAGGACAGTTAGCATTTTAATGCTTAAAGGTTTTAAAAATAATCACATTATATTTATTTCAAAAATATGAATATAAATTGTTTTTCATTCACATGACTGTAATAAACTTTGTTACTACAATTATTAGTAGTACACAATTGAACAAAACCAATATATT